TCTCAAGTGCATGGCCGAGCCCAGGAGGGCTGGAGGCAGCCTGTGTAGCCACGGCATCCTGGAATGGGCGAAATCAGGAGTTTCATGAGGGAAAATGGGCCCATGGAGCAAGTGGCCTGCCCACCTGGCCAGGGGCGCAAGGTGTCCTTAGTCCCCACACCCAGGTGCAGCCGTGTCTGACATTCCTGTGGGGCCGGGTCCTCCTTCAGCAGCTGTGGATTTGGCCCTTGGCCCTTGTCTGTGCTCAGTTGAGATGTCCTGGGGGAGGGTGCTGGTGCCCTTGTCCTCGTCCCCAGGGTGACGTGGGAGCCACTCCGATGGCCCCGCTCGGGTAGCTCAGACAGGCTGAGGGCGTTGGCCGTGAGAGGCAGTCATGGCTGATTGCTAGAGAAGAAGATGAACCAGACGTCACCCTTCTCCCGAGCCACGGACAGGAGCAGGCTCCTTAGTGCTCAGCACGTGGGAGCCGCGACCTCAGGACTTGGCAGCGTTTCTGATTGATCCTCCCCGCAGCCCCGTGATGAGGAGGTGAGGGAGCCCCATTTTCACATGGCGGTCCCCTCTCTTCCTCCCTCGGATCTCTCCTGTCCCCATCTGTGCTCTGGGGTCCTGGTGTTTCTGTGAGGTGACTCCAGCCTGGTTCCCACGCCCAGCCTCCCCCGCCACTGCCCAGTGCCCAGGAGCTCACGATGGCCGAGGAAGGGGCTGCCTGGTGGGGAGGTCCTTCCACAGGTGTCCCCAGCGCACTCCTGGAAACCTCCCACCAGGACCCGCCACATGCTTCAGCTGTCAGCAGGGGGGACAGCAGGCTGTGTCTCCACATGCGTGTCTCAGTGGGCGCTGTCTGTCTGTCTGCCTGCCAGTGTCTCTGTGTTGAGTACCTGTCAGCAGATCCACCCACTGCCGGGTGCCTGGGCATCCTTCTGATGGGCTAGGCTCCTGGAGCAGATGCGGGGCACGGTTTTCTGCCCAGTGGCCCCGAATTTCCCGTGATGACTTTGACCTGAGCCCAGGAATGATGCTGGGCAACATGGGCAGATTTGAAACCAAGTTTGATTTCAAAGTGCCACTTTCCCATATGAGACCCCTCCCATCCTGGGTGTGCCAAATGCTTCAGTCATGTCTCCGTATTTATTCTTTGCTCTCGCGTCAGCTCCTGTTCTCTAGG